TTGTGACTGGCCGAGGTCCAACACAACCGGGCAGTGGGCGTGGGAGATTTTCAGACTTGCAGAGTGCATATGTGCCAGGGCTTAGGCAAGCACACCAAGGAGATGCTGTCGGTAGTGGTACAACTTCATTTGGATGTGGGGATTGAGGAGAGACCTAATGGCCCTATATTTCGGGAATTAACTGTAGGACTAAGCGATGTGCCGGTAGGGCAGTTAGGAAACTTTGGGGATTCTTTTAGGTCATAAAAGTAGAAATAGCTACAACATATTTCCCTTCACGCCTTCAAAGTAGGGCGAGTAGTTGCGTCTCTGACACTCAGGTTCCTGAAGTTCCCGTGAACATGAGCCAGTTGAAAATAGCGGCTTGTTAGATAGCCTGTTTACTTCGCAATAAGACATGACAATAATTGGCATGGTGTAGATCATACATCACAACTCGAGCATTTATCTATCGGGCATTCCTCTACAACACTGAGGAACCCCTGCCACCAAAGTTACAGACTGCTCATGTATTTTCTCATTCAGCAAATTATTTACAATAACAGCCTAGTGTTTTTCGCGTTGCTCCATCACAAACTGGAGGAAGCAGGTCTGGATATGAAAGTCGACAATGGTAGCGGAACAAGAGGGTTGCAGTGGTAAAAATTGACTTGCGCCCTATTGCAATTGAGACATTTACCCCGGCGAACAGGACAGATTAGAAAAACGAGTGCTGTAATAATTGGTTTCCCCGCAACATTTTTTTCAACCGAAATTTTCGTCGTCTCTTAGTTTACCAGTAAAGTAAAGACTTTAAGCAAATGGAAAGAAAACCTTAACACTTAAAGTGATAACTTGACAGGACCGCTGAGTGCACATAAGTGCATGTGCATTTTGTGCCTATGAGCCGACAATGCTGAAGGGCGACAGGTACGACAATAACTCAACTCTATCTCTGTACCAGGTGTTCTGCTAACCGTCAAGACTATTAACGATCTGGCCTATTGCATAGCTCGAACACATATAATGAGCTCGACTGCCAACTAGGAGCCACCCCTCTGCAAATCCAGTTGCTACAAAGCCGATTGTGCATTTGAGCTCAATAAAAGCCACCCAATCCGCTCTGATGCCATGGTACATGCCTCGAACATTCGCTATTGTAGATTAAGCTTGCAGGTATATTATTCACACAAAAATGACCAAAAATTGTATGGTGATTCAAGACAACCATAGAAACACATCAGTAGAGTACATTAACCAAAATGCTGCGTGTATCATTGTCCTGGAGGATTTCTGCTCTGGGGGCAACCGGAATGAGCTGTGGATATAAGCTCAGTCCCGATGATGGCATCGTATGAAAACTAAACGAGAATGTGAGCTTAGACGGCTCAAACCTAAACTTGAAAATGTTGCAATTAATATGCAGTCAATAAAACAACGTTAGCAAGTGGGCAATCGATAGGGAAAAAACATAATAGGGGGTCGGGTACATAAATGCGTCAAAAAAGACGACTAGAAGATATCACAGTCTTCACTAAAGGCGCCTGCCAAGAGGACGTCGAAATTGCCCAGGTTACGGGTAACCCAAGACGTATTCATCCGAGTTGAACCCCGTTCTGGTGGGGACAGGAGGCTGTTCAGAAGGTCATGAGTACTGACGCCAGATAAAGAGGATAAGGATGATGTGGAGGAGGAAGGGGCTGGTAGTTGCGCTGAAGCAACATAAAGGCGCTGTTGGCCAGGGCAACTAAGGACAGGGTTGGGTCGACGAACAAGTCCAGGTGGCGTCAATAAAAAAATCCGGAAGGCGGGAAAGGTATGAAAGAGTGGGTCAGCCACTTCCAGATCACCTTGGAGTGCATTCACGCGAAGAACTTCGTCCTAAAAAGATGCACCATAGAAACCATCATCAACATCATTCGAGAAAATCGGGCGCGGAAGTCTGCAAGCCAAATTGACTGACTAGACAAACCTTCCGGCAAAAAGAACCTGAAAGAAAATGGTTGCGACCGCTTGGAGCTAGAACTCCGACAAGACCAACAAAGATTGGTTTCGTACCGGCTTCACCCAGAAACTCGCAGTATCTTGTCGTCAATTCCTTGACATTACCTTCCAAGTCTCGCGGTACGATCCTAAAAGAGTACTCAGATTCTTTGCCTGCCATGTCGAAATACTGCGCATCTTCCTAGTTTCGTATTAAACGGAGGTTTGTATGAAACAAATTTCGGCAACACCTTATTTTCCAGACACCCTTGCGGAAACTAAATCTGCGCATAAGTAAAGGACGCAAGAAAAGCAAGTAGTTCCTATCGTCGGGCCAATCGGAGCGTGCCGTGCCCAAAGGATTGCCAATAGACGCAAAGAAGCCAGTTCCAGGAAGCCAAAACAGGAAGTTTATTGACTTGACTTTTCGGATTCTCCTTCGAGTTCATCCTCAAAGTCAGTAGCAGATAAGAATCTGGGTTCCGACGTCAGATGGATAAGAGGGCAATTCGATTGGATATTACAAGGTTTTCTGAAGGCATTACTGGATTAGAAGCGTAATGCATCCCTTCAGTACCTACT